CACAACAAGCAACACGTTGTTCTCTTCAGCACATATGGCCCAACTCTCCAAGCTGACCCTGTGGAAAAGGACAAATTCTACCCCGACCTGCGCCGCCTCACCCAGAAGGTTCCTGCAGATGGTAAGATCATAATCCTTGGTGACTTCAGCGCCAGAGTAGGAAAGAACTCTGAAGCCTGGAAAGGAGTACTAGGCAAGCATGGTGTTGGAAACTGCAATGACAATGGACGCCTCCTGCTAGAGTTTTGTGCAGAGCAGCAGCTCACCATCACCATCACCAACACTATCTTTCAGCAGAAAGACAGCTTGAAGACAACGTGGATGCATCCTTGATCCAAGCACTGACACCTCACTGACTACATCTTAGTGCGCCAGAGAAATGTTCACGATGTCCGTCATACCCGAGTGATGCCTGGTGCAGAATGACAAACAGACACCACCTTGTGCCATGCAAACTTAACTTCCACTTTAAGCCAAAACCTAAGAGGGGCGGCATTCCAAGGAGGAGGCTCCAAGTTAACAATCTTCAAATAGCTACGGTGAGAGACAGCTTCCAGGTAAACCTTCAAAGTAGACTTGAAGACCATCCCATAGATCCCTTTCCTGAAGCACTTTGGCAACATATTAGAAATAGCATCCTCCAGTCTTCTGAAGAATCCTTAGGGTTCTCCTTCAGGAAAAACAAAGATTGGTTTGAGGACAACAACCAAGAGGTCCAGGAATTGTTGACAAAGAAGAGAACTGCTCACCAAGCACACCTCGCTCAGCTGTCTTGTCATGTAAGAAAAGCAGCCTTTTGTCTTGCATGCAGCAAGCTCCAACAGAACTTCGAGACATCCAGAACAAGTGGTGGATCAGCCTAGAAAAGACTCAACTGTGGGCAGATTCAGGTGATTACAGAGGATTCTCTGAGGCTCTGAAGGCAGTGTATGAACCCACACACCACGTTCCAAGCCAACTAAGTGCAGATGGCCAAATGCTTCTTACAGATAAAACCTCCATCCTGAATCGATGGTCTGAACATTTCCAGACTCTGTTCAGTGCCAACTGTGTAGTCCAAAGTTCAGCAGTTCAGCACATTGCACAACAACCAGTGAAACACAAATTGGATGGGCCCCTCAGTTCAAGAAGGACAGGGAATTCCTTGAAAGAGTCCAGCAGGGCCACAAAGATGATGGAGGGAGTGGAGCATCTCCCTTATGAGGAGCGGCTGAGGGAGCTGGGGCTCTTTAGCTTGGAGCAGAGGAGACTGAGGGGTGACCTCATTCATGTTTATGAATTTGTAAAGGGCGAGTGTCAGGAGGAAGGAGCCAGGCTCTTCTCAGTGACAGCCGATGCCAGGACAAGGGGCAATGGGAGCAAGCTGGAGCATAGGAGGCTCAATCTGAACGTGAGGAAAAACTTCTTTACTGTGAGGGTGACAGAGCATGGCCCAGGCTGCCCAGAGAGGTTGTGGAGTCTCCTTCTCTGGAGACATTCAAAACCCGCCTGGACGTGTTCCTGTGTGACCTGGTCTGGGTGATCCTGCTCTGGCAGTGGTTGGACTGGGGGAGCTTTTGAGGTCCCTTCCAACTCCTGAGATTCTGTGATTCTGGATATAGCCCTACTATGGGAGAGACTCTTGAGGCCATGCAGCAGGTGAAAACTGGCAAGGCAGCTGGGATTGATGGAATCCCACCTGAAGTCTGTAAGCCTGGAGGCCAAGCACTCCATGCTAAATTTCACGAGCTCATTGTGCATTGCTGGGAAAAAGGTGAACTGCCATCAGATCTCCATGATGCAGTCATTATCACCCTGTACAAGAAGAAAGGAGAAAAATCAGACTGCTCAAGTTACCGTGGTATTACTTTGCTCTCTATTGCTGGTAAAATCCTATTCTTAGTAATGGACCGTATACACCTGAATTCATATGAGAGCTGGTGTTGTAAGCTGAAGTCTTGTTACCAGCAGTTGATGTGCTGCAGCACTTCACTACAACTGTGATGAATACTGAGTGTACAGTATCTGAAGAGACTTATATTTTGTTTCAAGTTCCCCCAGTTTTGGTCGGGCTTCATAAGTTACACTGTTGCACCTGCATAAACATGGCTGAAGTGCTGAGAATTGTGTGTAACGTGGTTCTTTTTTTATTCACAAAAGGCTTACTTTGTAATAATAAGGCGTAAATCTATAATTTAAGTAGTTTGTATTAAAATTCCTTTGTTTGCCAAACACTTTTAAAGCTCTGGTTTGGTTGTTTTTTTATTCTTTTTGTCAGTGTGGAGGAACAACTCATGTGTTGCGTCTTAGCTGGTCACCTGATGGTCACTATCTTGTTTCTGCTCATGCCATGAATAATTCTGGACCTACTGCTCAGATCATTGAGAGAGATGGATGGAAAACCAACATGGATTTTGTAGGACATCGGAAGGCAGTTACAGTAGTGGTGAGTGAGAGATGGTAATTTATCCCTGAAGTAGAACTTCACAGACGTGCTTTTTGATGATTGTATGCATAAATGGGACAAGAGGTGGAGAGAGACAGTCAAGGTTAGTAAAGCAAATGGACGGGGGTGATTAAAAAATGTCAACTTTACGTGTTGTAAGCAATCAGCTTGCTGTTGTGATAAGAGAAGTGGACATAGATGAAGAAGATAAGAAGGGGGAGTACAGGAGCACGCTAGGAATGACAAACACTAACTTTGTTAGTAGTTCAGTGACTTGGTTAAAGTGACTTAGGTTTCTAGTGAGTTCCTGATAGCTAGTAAAATTAATATTATTTGCCATTCTGATTAAGGCATTCAGAAAGCTCTTTAAGAAAGCTCATGCAGATTTCGTCAGTGCTCTTATAGAGTCTGGTTAAGGACTTTGTTTCTAGTAAGAGTTTCTTTTTCATTGTTAAGTGGAAAAATTGCTTTTAAAGCAGATCTTCTACTAAAATGTATTTACTGTAACAAAATTTGGGGCATCTCATTTGTTCAGAAATTCAATCCAAAAATCTTCAAGAAGAAACAGAAAAATGGGAGCTCCACCAAGTCAAGTTGTCCCTACTGCTGTTGTGCTGTTGGTAGCAAGGATCGATCTCTTTCTGTCTGGGTAAGTGTTTTCTTGCTGCCTTTGACTAATGTCATTTGGATAACTCAAGGGTTAAGTGCAAAGGTCGTGTGTACAGCATTAGGTCTTATACTTAGATTCATGTTTAGTTTTCTCTCTGCTGGTTACAGTAGTAGCTGGTGAGGAAGAAAGTGGATTGGTATTCGTTCATTTCTCTAAAGCCAAAAGCAGCTAAAAGCCAGTGGCGGTCAATGTTGCCCTGGTAAGGGAGAGGAACTGTTAAGGCAAATAACGTGTTACCATAGTTAATAAATGAAATTCAGCCCAATTTTCTTCCTATGTCTTTTACTCATTCTCCGTGTGAGTCTCATAAGAAGAAAACCCAAACTGTACTGATTTTGTGTTTAGCTCATGTACCCATTGATCCCTCTTGGAGTCTAGCTTTTTGAGTCTTGCTTTTACAGGTATGAGGAGCAGGCACAGGATAGCTGTTTCTGAGCATGTATACTGCTCATCTTTCTGCTTTGTTCTGGCTTCAATCCCTGACTTCTGTGTTTCATATGGAAAGGAGTGTGAAAGTGAATGAGCTTTTTAAGTATACTTTCAATATCTAGTTTAGGTTTTACTTTAAAATCTACGTTAAAATTGTTCTTCTGGCTAACAGAAGAGTAGCTATTCTCACAGTTATAAATGCAAGATGGGTTGTTTGGCAACTGCAAAGGACAGAGAATAAATTTAACTGATTTGTAAAGCTTTGTGATGAGAACGTGTGCCAGAACACACCAATTGCTAGCTGCAATCTACTGTTTACAGATTCCAGTGTGATATTTATCCATCAATTGCTAAATGCATAACACTAAATCTGTTTCTGGCAATGCTGACAGTGCATACCCATAACAAAGTATCACTCAGTACATTTTACCTTCTATTTGTACTCTGATTTCATTTAGGGTGCATGTTGAGGTTATACTAGATATTGTAGAGATGCAGAGTCTTTACCCTGAAAAGCTTAATAGACACATATACAACACAGACCTATGGAAACATAAAAGAAATAACTACTGAAGATGACTCCTTCACGGCGTCTGTGAACCTATGAGCATGAAACATCCTAGACCACATTAACTTCTTCTGCTTCATTTCAGCTGTACTATGTACTATAGGTATTAAGACCATTGGTTTAATGTTAAAGAGCTTAGAATGTCTGATTTAGAACAGGTTACTGGAAGTTTTCTCCTTCAGTTCTTTATTACTAAGCTGATTTATAAGTGTAAAGGAATCCTCTTTAAGAATTATTGCGAGTCAAATTCCCTTTGCTCTTGTGTAAGTAAGTGAAACCTATCAAGTAGTTTGAGTGAGGAAATAGAAACTTAATCAGTTTTCTATCTTCCTCTTGTGCTGGCAGTTTGCAACATCCTTATCTCAATAAAGCTTAGAATAGAAACTGCCTTTAGCATCTGTGGAGTTACTTTTTGAGTGGTAGAGAGTGTTCTGTGACTCTGATGTAAAGGCAGGGTTGGTTAGGAAATTCAGAAAGGAGGAGAGGGTTCAATGGCAGTTCTTCTTCTCCAAAGCTTCTCTGTGCCAGTAGTGGAATGGGTAACCAGGTGCTTCAGATACAGCACCAGGCATACTGCTCTCTCCTGGCCACATCTTGTTTGGTGGATATTGTTAGACTCTGGGAAGGTGTTAACGTGGTGGTATTTGTGGTAGCATAGAACTTCTAAATTTCTGAGTGTTGTTTCTTCTGTTTTAAGCTGACGTGTCTGAAGCGACCTTTAGTTGTCATACATGAGCTGTTTGACAAGTCTATCATGGACATCTCCTGGTAAGTTGGTTTCTGCTGTTTTATTACAAAAACCAAAGTGTCGCTAGCAACTTTAGTTACACACATTAACTGGAAATTCCTTAAAATGGTACAGATTGTAGCTGTTGAAACAGAGGTAATTAGTTCCTGAAGCTTTTGGTTCTGCTGCAGCATCTTTGGTAGTAACATTCGCAACTGGCGTGTGGTCACTTGAGACAGTGTAACATTAAAACTGAAAAAAAGTGTTTAGAACATGATGCAGTAAAATACCCATGGTATGAGTTCTTACTTGTTATGATTACATGATTTTTTTAATAAAATATGTATTTTATAACATGATGTGGTGGACCTGATGGATTTTATGTGCATTCTGTGTATGAAAAGTTACTGCTTTTGTACAGTTATGACAAATTCAGGGGAACCTTCTAGGCCAATCTTTCCTTCATGACTAAGAACACATACCAAAAGAGAAAGTTGGGGGGTTTTTTGGTGGTTTGGTTTTTTTTTAAATGTTTTAAAAAACACTCTCACTTACACTCACACACACACACTACTCACTGATCATTTGAATTGCCTGAAGGTTTTATCATCGGGGGAAAAAAAAGGTAAATGCAGTAGCTTTTGGGCTTAGTAAAAATGTAGTTATGCTGTTGCAGCACCTTGTGAAGGGTGTAAATTGCTCTGTGTTGAAGGCTAGCAGAGGCTGGTCCTGTAGCAAGTCTCAGAGAAGGGATAATGAACTACTGCACCCAGCCATACCCCATCCACCAACCGCTGGACATAGCAGAAGGGCAAGTGTGAAGCCTTCCCAAGAGGCTACAGGATACCTCTCGTGATTTGGATTGGGTTGGACAACCCACTTTCAATGAAGAGTACTATCCCAAATCTTGTTTTTCTGCAAATAGTGGTGCTCTCTGCTCTCCTGCTTTCTTCCTAAGACCTGGTCATAAAAATGCAGAAGTTAATAGTTCTTTAGTCACTGCAAGACTTGAATAATAAAGGAGAAATAACCATGAGACCACTTAGCAAATGGTGTTAAAAATACTCTGCATCTATGCATCAGGTGATTTACAGAGCTAAGGGTTCTGTACAAGGAAAGGCTCAGATCTTTTTCATGATAGGCCTACAGCTGATCACATAGATGGTCTTAATTCTAGCACTTCCTAACTTTTGAAATTCTACCAGAATAGCTGTAACAGTCTTGGTGGTTTTATACTATAAATTTGAAAGTGTACAATTGAATAACTTCCTGCTTTCTGTGTCCCATGTGGATTTTGCCATGAAGCTTAGTGAAGCACAATTAAAAGTTTTCAGAACCAAAGCATTTTGCTTTCATTAACAGATGAAGGCTGTAATGCCAATAAGTGGAATATTTCATGAGAGCTGCTGCTATTGTTGTAGTACAATAGCTTTGGGTAGTTTTGTTTTCCTGTAGTGTTTTTTGTTTCTCCATCTGCAATTTGCCCATTTTTCGTGGCATAAAGTCATTGGGAGTAATAGCTGGGTAACATTCTACAGTTTCTGAGGAGAAATGGTTTTGTGGGATATTTGAGAGACGAAAGATCATCAGCAAGCTCGTTACTTTATATCCTGTTTACAAATTGAAATGTGTGGCTAAAATGTCAATAATATGGAATGTTCCCAGAACCAGGCTCCTTTCTGAAAACAGACTGAGTAAATTCAGAGACATGATACTGCTGTATTGTTGTAGCTGTCTCGTTTCTATTTTAGAGTCTTAGACTTGGATCCATCATCGTAATATCTGAACACAATTATGTTTTCATGGAATAATTGCTTCGATCCAAAGGTCAATAGGAGCTCAGCAATTTTGTCTGCTGAGCAAGCAGAAAACTCCCAACAAGATTTTGTCATTTTCTAACTTGGAGTAGTGTTGGTTAACGTCGTTACAGGTGCTGAGGCTGACTTCTTTGGGTGTGCTACTCTCAGGGCACCAGCCACCATGAAAAAAGACATTTTCAAACACCTGTAGCCATGATGCAAGTAATACATTTTGAAGCTTTACTGGACTAATTTGAATAGGACTTCAGAGTTCTACCCACTTCCCTTTTCTGATCTCTGTAGCAAGCCATCTCTAAACCACTATGTTGCTGTCTGTGAGCTCTGTAATTGGAAGTTACTGGGTTAGCAGTCAAAACTCATAAATTACTGTTTTTTCAAATGTGCAATAGGTTATATATGGAAAGTTATCACTCTAGTAAGGCTAGAATGTATAGTTTCTCCTTTCTCTCTTCCACCAAGACGACCTTTTGTAAGAAAAGCCTTCAGAAGAGGGTTACAATATATCCTCCCGTACAAGCATATGTGCAGTTTGCTTAAAAACCTAATAATGAACAATCACAAAATCAAACGTATGTTCTTGCCTAGTACAGAGATTTTTTTGGACTGCTCAAGTGCACATCTTTCTATTGCTTATCTGCTGAAGGCCCTTTTCTTTACCCAGTTCCATTAATACACAACTTTTGTACATCTTTTGAAGCAAATAAACGTAGAATTTTCTCTAATTATTCACTGTAAACACCCCAGTTTATATTCTGTTTTACCCCTACAGAAAGGTTTTCATGGTGCTGTTCGTGTCCTGGGGCTGTGTATTGTCCTAATGCCACCTGCTGGTGTGCAGTCTCCAAAGGAGTATCAGTACACAGACTCTTGCTGTCCATCACCTTGTTTTCTTGCTGTCCTGCTTCTCTGGTTCCTTCAGGAGTTGCTGTGATAATAAATCTTATGCTAAAATTCTGGTTGAGCAATTTATTGTATTGCCCCTCTGCATCAATGAAAGAGATTGAAAACAGAGATGGACCTTTCTTTCCTTCAGGACCCTTAATGGACTTGGTATCCTGGTGTGCTCTATGGATGGATCAGTGGCATTTTTGGACTTTTCCCAGGATGAACTTGGAGATCCACTCAGTGAGGAAGAAAAGGTACAGTAAGCACTCCAAAAATCTGTGATCCTGTTTAAGGGATGTGTTGATTCAGTTAAAATACTGGACTATTCATAGAAATATATAGTGACTGATTTCCATATTACAGGAAAATGTGCTCTTGTTTGCTTTACAAATCATTAAAAACAGAGTAGTTGAGAAACGAATTTGTGATGTTAGTTTCTATTCTGGAAAGAAAGTCTATTTGGAAAACATCCACTTGCTTACGCATCATTATACATTTGAAGTAATTATTTGGCCAAGAAAACAGGAGTGGGTGCTTCAAAACACTTTAAAATTACTCTTTGACTTGCATATATGCAAGTCTTTTTAAACTGATTGCTGTTGGCTGTTTTTTCCTCTCATTGATATTAGCAACTAAAGCTTTGAATTCCAACTTTTTAATGTATTGATTTAGTGTTAGCTGATAAGATACACTACAGATTTTTTTTTCCTTCATAAATGATACAGAGGCCGTTTGCTTTTTACGTATTCCATTAGATTTGTGTGATTCCATTACGTTATAATTAGTGATGTTATGCTAACAGTTGTTCTCACTCTTCTTGTGTGGTGCACTTCTAACACCCACAGAGCAACATCCATCAGTCCACCTATGGTAAAAGCCTGGCTATAATGACTGAAGCTCAGTTGTCTACCACCATTATTGAGAATCCAGAGATGCTCAAGTATCAACAGAGGCAGCAGCAGCAGCAGGTGGAGCAGAAGAACGCGTCGATTAGAGAAGCACCTGGGACTGCAACAGCGGCTCCCAAAGTGGCAAGCATGGTGAATGGGGAGAGTTTGGAGGACATCAGAAAGGTAGGTGTTCTTGGATAGTCACTTGATAGTGTCAGGTCCTAAGTCAATAAATACCAGACTGCTTATGATAGAACTAATTTCCGCTTCCTTATTTATGTTGAATGGCACCTTTCTACCCATGAATGGTCCAGTGGACGTTACTGGGACTTGTTGAAAAGTTAAAATGCTTTTAAACAAAGGACAGACTATGTGGAAAAAGACTTGTGGGTATTTCTGTGATGTGTGCTAAATTCTCGACGTGCAGAAAGAAAACTAATGGAAGCCAATAACGGTGCAGCTGTAGAACTGTGCTTCAGTTTCTCAATGAAGGAGGTTGAAAGGATTATTTCATTTTCTCCTAAACATAGAACACAACTTTTAATGAAGGATTCAGTGCACGCAGATGAGAATGTTTCAAACTTGGCGCTCTAATGTGGATAGAATCAGAATTCTATTCTACTTTGTTCTATGTGAACTTCTACTTTAAAAACTTACCATTGAATAAAAACAAAAGTTATGGTATTAAAATACACTTATATCACTAAAAATGTAGACTGATTCTATTTATGCCATAATAGCATGGTTCAAAGACGATATGGAAAAGAAAACCTTTGTTTACAGATTTTTAGTTAAGGAACATCTTTTACCTAATACACCTATTCTTATCAGTTGGAGGGGAAAAAAATAGCATTTCCTATTTATCAAAAATGACAATGGGATATATTTCCCAACAGAACCTCTTAAAAAAACAAGTTGAAACACGAACAGCAGATGGTCGGAGAAGGATTACGCCTCTCTGTATAGCTCAACTGGACACTGGGTATGTTTGGAAGTCATCTTTAAAATCTTTCCCTTTTGTTTTTCCCCTGATGCAAACTCAAGATTGTGACTTATTTTCATCTTATAGCATCTTAAAGCACTTGCTGGAAATACGTTGTGTATGCTTATGGAATATAGTTTCAAGCTATGTTCTCATAGCAGTAAGATCTTACTTCTAAAGATAAGGCTAATTCTCATTGTCTGCCGTTCTAGATGAGTGAACAATATATTGCAGTTTCATATCTACATTAATACTGCCTTTAGCATCCTTTGTATATAATAAAATTGCTCTGGAAAGTTCGGTGATGGTGATTTACTTACATTTTATATGAGAATATCTATGTGGAAAAGGGAAGAATGGAATAAATAGTTCAGTTTAAATTATCTTTTTCCAGTTGTTTTTGAATAATAATTTTGAAGTGTTTTCGAGAAACATATTTGTTGTTTGTCTTGTCTTAGGGATTTTTCTACAGCCTTTTTCAATAGCATCCCAATATCTGGATCTCTGTCTGGCTCAATGATGTCTTCTCAAAGTAACCAGCAGCTCTTGTCATTAGATTCTAACGCTGCAAATTCCCTTAATATTTCAAAGCCTTCTGTAGAGCCAACAGCAGCCAGTATAAAACCAACAGATGACGCAGCCAATAAAGATGGGTCAGTATCTGCAGTTTCGTTTTCCACTTATATGACTCTGTTTAGTTAATAGTTCTTGTTTGTAGTTCTGTAATCCAGCAATTATTGAAATGGTTTCTGTAGTGCAAAACTTCAAGGATCTGACATTTCTGAAAACAAAGATTTTATTAATATTTGGTTACTTTAAATAGTGATAAATCATTAATGAATAAATCCATATGCATAGTTCTGGAAAGGAACTTCAGTGTAATGAGGTACACAGTTGGTTGCTAATGCTCTAACAAATTGACTTGTTTATAGATTGCTGTGTTGCTAGTAGTAAATAATAGAAGGTGTTCCAGCAGTGGAAGTAATGAAGCCTGCTTCCCATCAAATTCTGTCCTGTAGATCTCCTCTCTTCAAACATGATAATATTATTTTCCTGTGTAACAGCCCCACGAGATGAGAGCGAGCGCGATGCCATTGACCTATCAATGCACATATGCTCATTGACCAGTGTGTCTTTCAAATTCATTATGGAACGACTAAATTTTACCTCCTTTTCTCTCAGTGGTAACACTGCCTTGGTTTCTTCTCCTCAATGTGTTTTTATAACATTTGTAAGAGCATAATGTCTTTGGAATCTCTACTGCTCCATCAAATTTAGTTGAAATTAGCCACCGATTAAAAAGCGAGTGGGTAGGCTATGAGAAATTATTGACAGAGAAAACTATTAAGTCTCCTTTTCTTTGGAAATTGGACTTCTCACTGCTTTTTAATACAAACATCAGTTATCTTGGAGCCATTCTTTCTTTCAGTTCATTGTCTGAATGAATTGAACAATCTCTAAAGTAAACAGTTATTCAAATAACAGATCGCTGGAATGCTTTAGTGTGGGGAAAACACATTCCTTTCCCTTAGAGTTATGCTTGGAAAGGCCTCATTTTTAGTTTGGATTCATCAACAACAAACTCTAAACCTGGCTTGAATTGTTTCAGCCCAAATTGATTGATAAACAGTGGAACAGAATCTTGTAATGGAAAGTATTTGGTAACCTGAAAAAGGGGTAAAACTGGGAACCCCAGGCATCATTTAAAACAGTGATCTTTTTCCTTTGGATTCATAATTACCAGCTGAAAGCATAATTTCATTCCTGAGTTAAAAATACATAATTAATTAGAGTCTTTTAATCAAGATATATCTATGTGGACACATGAAACTCTTAGCTCTGCGATGCATCATAAACAGCTTTTGAGAATAGGCAAAGCTTGCAAGATAGCGATGCATGAAAGGGGAAAGAAAATATAATAATTAATGTATGTATTTGAGTGAAAGGTTTTCAGTGTGGTTTCTAGCCAGTATAATGAATGTCAGGTAGTAGTTATGAGCAATGCATGTTGCCAATACTAAATTTCTTTCAATTCTTGTTTTCCTGTCCCTTTTATTGATAGTGTAAATGCTACCTCTGCCTCAGCTGTTCCTCCTGCATCGTCTTCCTCTGTGTTGACAGCTCCATCCAAGATTGAACCTATGAAAGCGTTTGATTCTAGATTTACAGAGCGATCCAAAGCCACCTCAGGGACTGCTGTTGTAACAAACACAAATCAGACTGTTGTGGACAGGTGAGACATAGCCTGAGGGGGCAGGAAAAAAGAACCATAGAACAATAGTAATGTGGAGAATTAAAATGCTGCTTCTCTGTGGTGAGGATGTCATGGTGCTGGCACTCTTGAAATTGTCTTGGGTCCCTTCCATAATTGGAAGGAAGGAAGGAGACAGCTGTGGATAGGTAAATTCTTTGCTGGCATTATCCATCAGTACATTTATCTCTGGCATTCGGGTTTAAGCAGACTCTTCAAAAGACTCTGTGAAAATTATTGCTACAAGAGGCTGTGTGCACTTGTGCCTCCGTATTTGACTGCATGCATCTGTGGTCCTTAGAAGACAAAAATAACCAGCCTGCATCTCTGTGCAAGAGGGAGATTTACTGCAAGATAAATTACCATACATGTCTGCAGATGGCCTATCATCATAATAGCTGCAGTTATACCTCAGTTTTATGATTGAAGGCATGCAGAGAAGGCGCCTTGATTTTAAGGGCTTTTGGCTACGGATCCACATGACTTAGGAAAAGAGTAAAGTCTTTGATTTCGTGGCATAGTGCGTTATGGCACAAGTGTACCTATTTCACCAAAACAAGTGATAGAAGTAGCAGTTCTTTAGAAAGAAGTATGTAGTTCCCCAACTTATTAACAATAAAACGTGTTTTCACTAAATACCTCAGTATTTTTGTGCCAGAGGGTTTAACCATATGGTGCAGAAGATAGATGTATTAAATTACTCTTGTAACTGCTTCTACTGTGTTAGTAGAGTATGGATAAACGTGTATTGTTTGGCATAATTCAGATGCCAAAGGAAAAGGTTTTGGATTAGGCAAGGTATTTGTAGGAAGCTGTGTGGTTATGGAATAAGTGGCAAAATATTGTTGGGAGTTAATAACCAGCTATTAGAGGGAATTGAAAGAATATGATTAAATTACCCATTTTAGGGTATAATGGTTAATAAAAGAGTTCACAAGGATTTATACCCTGTCATCTTTAGTTATGTCGTATTTCTCAAATGGAAGATGGAGTGGTGAGGTCATTTGTATTGTCTGCAGATATGCATCTTACAGTAGAACTGAATAGGATGACGTTTGGGGATAGACAACAGAATGACAAATGGAACTCTGCATAAGTAAGCAGAAAGTGTCTGTCTGAGTGGAAAAGATTAGCTGCTCTTGCGTCTTACAGAGCGCTGAATGATTTGTATCAACCCAAGGAAGGAGATCTCGTCGTAATTGGAACTGAGTGCTAAACTAAAGTTATTTACAGCTTTATCCAGTTGCTAACTGCTAGATTAATTTTTTAAAAGAGAGAATATATCCGATCAGCTTACATATATATTACACATTGTACTTTTTCAGAGGTTTTGCCATACTTTTTTGCCTTCCTCCTTTTGGCTTTGTGCATTTTAAAATACACTCAAACAGGGCTAAGAATGCATCTTCTTACCTACAAGAACGCAGCGCGTAGGATTTGTGGCAGCTTTTGGAATCGGCTTATATAAAACGTGAAATATATTTTTTTACTTGCTTAGACTGAAGGAACAGAATTTAATTAAGGATAATAAGCCTAAGGATATTCTGGAGAGCAGCAGTGACAGTGAAGAGAAGATTCCAGCTGCTAAACCACTCAGTGTACCCAAACGGAAACTGGAACTTGAGGGAGAAACGGTAGAAAAGAAGAAGAAGGGAAGGCCTCGAAAAGACTCCAGACTTGTACCAGTAACTTTAACTGTTCAGGTGAAATAACTAAGATTCATTGTGGCTTTCAATTTTCATTTGATATCATCAGTCCCACGCTGACTTGTTCCATCAACAAGTCAAGGGAACACAAGGAGCATCAGTCCCTCAGAATTTTTAGCCATTTCTTTTCCTTGCCTGTAAACTTACTCTTTCTAAAATGTAAGATTGTAAAAAGCAGATGCATATGGTGTGGCAAACACATCCATCCTTTATATAACTGTGCAGCTGCTTACTAAACAGTACCAGTATGCACAGTAGTGATAGCCTGCCAAGTGGCTATGTAGAGTGAAATGACACACCATCAGTTTCTGGTGTTCTTCCATGGCGAGTGGCCCAAGCACTGGGGCGTGACTTGAATATGTTGACTTAAATGGTTATGAATTTCCTAGGAACCGTGAAGTAGTAAGTTGCAATAGTTTCCATCATTTTAGGGCGTATAGAACCCTCTGATTTCAGTGCTCAGAGCTTAGCTTTTCCATGCAGTGTACCAGAATTGCCATTCATTAGTTGCAGCTGAAAAGGAGGGAGGGGGGTGTTAAAAAAAAAAGGACCACATCTGGTTTGTTTTGTTTTTTTAATTCTTAGAAGCTATATTAAAACCTTTGTATTTATACAAATAATTGGAAAAATATTAATATTTGCAGTTGGCATTATTTGGAATTTTAAAAAGCAGTTTCTCTTTGAAGTCAATCTATATTATAGAATATCTTTGTTTTTAACTCTTTTTAAATTGAAGAATTTAACTACTTCTGCAATAACTTCTCTTCCAGTCCCCAGCTACACTGGCCGCTGAGAAGGATGCTGCTTGCATTTCTGCACCAGCATTAGCACTTAAACTGCCAACCCCAATCCCACAGAAATCGTTTACTTTGCAAGTAAGTGGACTATAAGGGGAAAAAAAAGCTTAATACTTAAAAAAAAATCCTGTTTTTTTAAATTCTTAGATTATTCAGATCCTTTGATAAACTGTTTGAATACATGTACTTGTTGAAGAAAGCAAGATGGTCTACTTCAGCTTCTAAGAATATGTCTATATGAGAAAAGTGAACGGCAAATTAGCTAAAAATAGGAGACTTGTGAACTAGCTAAACTTCAAAGAGAAACACCTCTGGTTCGTCAGTCCCTCCTCTTGGTTAACCAAAGTGTGCTGTAAAGATAAGTGTCTCCAGTGGGTGTAACTCCTGCGTTGTATTACAGTTGTGTTGGTAGTACACTGCTGAAGAGAAAAAAACCAAGTATTTTCTGAGAGCTCTCTGGAGGTGTCTACATCTGAAAAAAACAGCAAATAGTATTCCTTTAGGTATTTATGACATGTTTTTTCTGCGTGTTGAGGCTGTGGTAGTCTGGTTCTAACTGCAAGATTGTAGGGAGACTGGGCACATCTAGACTTGATCTGGTGCCCTTAATTAGGAAGCACGGACTAGCACAACCTTTCTTTATTCTTATGCTCTTGAATACAAAGAAATTACTTGTGTTCTAGCCAAGACCGATTTTCAGAGGTCTACTTTTTTTGACATACCACAGTACATTTTGAAGCCACTTTAAACAGAGAATGCTCTACTTAAATCCATTCTTAAAAACAGCATTGGCTTAGATCTAATAGGAGTTGCAACTTTTTTCGTTCCTTTCCTATTACAAAAAGTATTTTATTTTATTTTTTTGTGTTTCAGGTAAGTTCAGATCCTTCAATGTACCTTGAAGTGGAGAATGAAATGACCACAGTGGGAGGTTCAAAGTTGAGCCGGTTAAAGTGTAATCGAGAAGGAAAGGAATGGGAGACGGTCCTCACCAGTCGGATTCTCACTGTAGCGGGAAGTTGGTAAGGGAGTGTATTTCAGAGGAAGAGGGTCCTGAAGGCCAGGAAACATTTTTAGGGGTACAGAAGTACACTTTACATAAAGTTGGTTATGCCTAAACCTACATATTTACAAATAAGTAGAGGCTTTAAAGCTATTTTTTATCTACTTGTTTAGAAAAGTTGATTAACTGGATCCTTTCTATCAGGGATTTTTGTGATTCTTTGTGCTTGGTTCAAGCTGTCCTATTTCTCTTCATCTAACCTGGTCTAATACATCGATGCTCTTAAATTCTTATCCTGTGGAGTTTTTTGTAGGGATTCTGACTTATTTCTGTTGACTACTGCTATTTGGTGGTTTTATCACTCCCTATTGTACTTTTTACACAATCTTTCATGATAAGTTTATTGTGGATAAAAATACGTACTGCTGTTAGTCGTAAGACCAGTTTCACTCCAAGTATTGGCTCTGTGTGGTCTGAAAGCATCCCAAATCCTCATTAGCCAGTTACTATTATTTCCCTGTATGTTTACATTTCTCCTTTGAGTTTCTTCATAAAGTTGACTGAATTACGGTGACAGTTGTACAAGGGCTAGCTACTAAAGAATGAAAAATTTGTAACAGGATGTTTTGTGACGTAGAAGAACTTTCTTGAGTCTTTTGCAATTATTTCTCTTTATTTTTCTCCTTTGCTTAGTTCCAACCTCAGAGTTTAAACTGAAAGTATATTTCTGAAGCCTGAGCCATGCCCAGGTCTGAAAAAGAAGCAGCAGATTTTAAAGCTATAGACAAGTACAAGGCTGAAGAAGAGCTTGTGTATGCCCAAGAGCTTTACTGATATTTTCAACTGTGCCCCTTGGTCTAATAAAAGATGCAATCTCTGCCTGCAACCGTTCTTCTCCTCATCTCCTTAGACAGTCATAGTTAGAATCGAATTAAGGAGGCATAGAATGCATATGTATGTATGTATGTATCTGTGTGTGTGTGTGTATATATGTGTGTGTGTATATATATATAAAAATATAAAATCTGTCCAGTTTTTGACCTTTGTTTTTGGTACACGGGATTTTTTAAAAAGCTGTAACAGTTACCTTTTGGGGAATTAGACAAATTTGTATGACAACTCAAGAAATCAATCTGCTTTTGTGCTACTCACATTTGACAAAATGTAATATTTTTATTTTTCAGTGAGATTGTAAGCGTGGCCTGTGAGAAACGAACGTTGTCGGTGTTTTCAGCTTGTGGTCGTCGCCTTCTTCCTCCTATAGTATTGAATACACCCATTTCCACCCTACATTGCACAGGTTCTTACATCATGGCTCTCACCACTGCTGCTACGCTCTCTGTTTGGTAAGTACCATATTAGGCTGCAGGGCTGATTTTGAATAGGTAACTCTGTTGATTTGTGTTGGTGCATTGCTGTTGAAACTGAGGCTTAAACCACATCAGGTCAGAACACAAGTTCACTCTTGGCTATAATATGAAGAGTTAACTGGATAGGACTTGAATCCTGTTTCTTCTCTGTTGTAGGACAGTCCATAATATTGAATTTGATTTTAGAAGGCAGACAAAAGATCAGCTAGGAGTTACTGGTTTGAACAGCCTCCTGAGGATGGATTTGTTATGCATATGGAATGGATTGAGGGGGAGAAAAGGAGAAATATGGATACTTCCTACTTCTATCATACTTAAACAATAAAGCACATGAGTTTCAGAGTTAGAAGTGCTCCAGCCATCTTCAAGATGGCACACCAAGATAAAAACTGCAGTGACTCGTTTACAGTTGTTGAATTTAATCTAACGCCTCATGTGAGTCAGAGCTCCTAAAGGAGATGTTTGGATCCATAGTGTTTGCTTAGCTGTAATGAGGTTTCCTGATAAAGAGCTGTAAAAGTTGTTCTCTGCTGTTTACTTCTGTCTTGCCGTAAGGGGCTTGAGTTCGCCAAAATAATTTTGTCAAAGCAATGAAGAAAATGTCAAAATAAAAAACTCTCCCAAAACAAAACAACCAAACTCCCCCAAAAAACCCACTTTGTCATGAACATTGAAGAAGTGCTTTTGTGAACTGATTGTGAAGCTTTCAGTTGTTTGTAAGCTGCAGATTTGTCATTTTGTCTTTTTCAGGGATGTTCACAAGCAGACAGCCATTGTTAGAGATGAGTCTTTGCAAACAATATTTTCAGGTAATAAAAAGGGTCACTTAGTTACCAACTTTGGAGCCCACCTTGTGCTATTTGGTGCCATTTATGAATATTCTGAAATGTTATGAAGCCTCAAAGGCCTAAACAAAGAATTTCTCTTCATTGTTGTGTAATAAAGAGAAGGCATTGGCAGTGTTGAAATACTGTAGAGATAACTGAGATGAGAATCTCAATGGGTAGCAGTGTTGTACAAGATTCTGTACCACTCTGGCTTGCTTCCGAACGTGAAAACTCAGTGTCGTGAAGGTCGCAAAATAAATATTTACTGGAAATCTGTTATGACAGCAATTTCTCTGTGTGTACTTTGCACGCTTATTATCTTAACAGTAAATAACAACTGATTCTCTTCCGGTTCATTATTTCAAAATCTTCTGTTTCTGCAATTTCCGATATCTGGCACAAAATAAATTCTCAAAATGCAGTGTCTCAGACCACCCTATTGGCTTCTACTTTAGCTCTTATACATACAATACTAATACAAATTATCTACCAAAGTAGTTTTGCTAGCAGTTGCAAATGTCTTCATTAGAAGTTACACGCACAAACCCTGGGCCTGGGATATGCTGGGAAATTGGTGACTCCAGCTATCCCACTTCTGCTATGAGTGAAGGCTTTTTTAGGTATGCTGGTTTTTCGAATGTTAACTTAATGGGGAAAGAAAGATAAAGGCTTCTTGAATTGTAGAAGACATGACAAAATTGCTGAAGATTTCCTCTAGATATGGAAAAGGTTTCCAGTTAAGCCTATATTCTGTATAAATTGCAGCATCAAGCCTGGTAATGTATTTTGCAAAAGAGTGTTTTTAATGCTACTGCACTGAGTCTGGTGCTTACCAGCATTACCTCGTGTCTTGACCTTTGTGTCAGTGCTTGAGAATAACATTGAACCTTTTTCTGTTGGTCGCTGTGACTGATAATTAGCGTTTTTTACCATTGTGAATGTTATTCAAGATTCCAAAAGAAATACTTTGGTCTGATTTGACTTGTAGGGAGTGATGCAACTGTCTCTCAGATCTTGCTGACCCAGCATGGTATACCTGTAATGAGCATGTCTGATGGAAAGGCGTACTGTTTTAATCCTTCTCTTTCTACGTGGTAAGTTATACATTATTTCTTGCTTTTACAACTTAACTGAACTGATGTGTATTCTTATTTACTGTTTCACTCCATATTTTGAAGGTTAGTCTGAGTAGGATCACACGCCAGGCTTAGTTTTGCTTGGGTTCTCTATTGTATATCTAGGCTTTGCTTTATTATATTCTTATCTTTTATGTGTAAAATGAATTTTAAAAGTGAAAGAGTTAAACTGCAGCTTACTTTATTGCTCATTCCTACACAGTGCATACTCTATTAACATACACCCATATATACCTTTGCTGATGTTCATCAGTGGAATCTGTCAGGCAGCTGGCAATGATTAAAGATAATCACAGAATCACAGAATCGCTCGGTTGGAAAAGCCCTCTGAGATCATCACGTCCAACTGTTCCTGTCTACCCCCTAAACCATATCCTTAAGTACCTCATCTACCCGCTCTTTAAACACATCCAGGGATGGTGACTCCACCACCAGCCTGTTCCAGCCTCTGACGACCCTCTCAGTAAAGAACTTCCTCCTTATCTCTAACCTGAACCTCCCTTGGCACAGCTTGGTGCCATTTCCCCTTGTTCTAGCCTTACCCTTCTAGCCTTACAATTAGTTTCTGTATTTAAAGAAAAAAACAAACAACAAACCAGTTCTGGAAGATTTGTGGAAACAATTTGCAAAGTTTTGTTGGGAGTTTAGACACATTCAAATTATTTTGCTCAGTTTCCAGAACAAATAAGACCTGTGCACTCCAATCCTGAACATGTATGTGCCAGACTGCCAGTCCCCATCACTCTAATATTAAATTTGGATCTGATGACCAGTTAAGGTTCAAAGAGAGCTCTTTGTCTCCAAGTTGTACAAGTTTAATGAAGATAGTAATTCAGGTAGGGGAGAAGGGAAGAAATTATTCTTCCTCAGAGGATTCCCATGGAAGAGTCATTACTGACGTCCTAAACACAAGGAAAGGCTGCGTAAGAGTCTGTGCCTTGCTGGATATCAGATAGTCTTTCCCCATGGATTCTCTTCCTACTGTCAAGGCATAATTTTGCATTTAAAAAATCCATGGTTAAGTTAATTAGTGTCTTTCCAAAACAGATCTTTGTTGCCTTTCTAAGAGGAGAAAACATGTTACTGTCTTAATATAATTGTGGTACTCAATGTAATAACCGTGCTTAATGAAAGGGATTATAGTTTTAACTCCTCCTCAGAATAATTGCTATTAGTCAGCTACTTGATGTGAATCTTTTGGAAAAGACAAAAATACCTTATTTGTTCTTTAGATAAACTGAGAAACTATGCAGAAATTTTAGCTGCCAATAAGGAAAGGAGCAGAGGACAGGCAGATGACACCAAGCTGGGGGGAAGTGT